AGCCAGCAGCATAGAAACCAGCCAGGTACCCCTACTACGTCACAATGGTGAAAACTGTTTTAAGCCGGGGGGCTGCCTTGCCCCTCAGTACTCGTAATTCTAGCACCCTTGCACTGGTGTCCACATTTTTTTATCCTTATTCTTCAGATAGATCTGTTTTTAAAATCAGCCCTTACTATTATTTTATTTAAATTCTTGGTTTTTTTTAAGATGGGGTACAGTAGCGTTATGTGTTTTTAAAAGATAAACAAGAAAATTTGGAGGTGACCTGATAAAGGCGGCAGTCCCTCTTTTTGCACACACTAGCATGTTCAGGATTTAACTACATTTTATGTGTTCTCAGGCCTCAGTTCACCACTATGTTACTGCAGTTTTACACTACAGTAACTCCATTTGATGTAAAAAACTGAAATCAATGGTATTATGCTGCTATAAACCTGGATATGTAATGGATCATGGCTGCAGATACCATAATTAGTGCAAATTACACATATCTACTGGACATATTTAATACAAGCGCAGTGTGCATTAGAATTGACTTAACCGTGAGTGTGAATTTCAAAAAACTAGCTAATGCCTAGGAGTAATGACCCTATATGCTAAGGGTATGTCTACTCTGCAAACCTCATTCTATGAGGAGTAATGCCAAATTGCTATTTTGAATTAAGTGCTGTGTAGACACTTAATTTGAAATAGGGGGCCTCCAGCCCTTCCCAGGGAGCCCTGGTTGCCACTCTGGGCACAACCAGGAAAACTTACTCTCCTCTCCCCCAGCCCCGGAGCCATTAAAGGGGTAGACCCTGGCTACAGTGCCTGTGCCAGCTCCAAGCCTGCCAGCCCAGAGCCAGCAGTGGCCACCAGGGCCTCTGACCCAGTGGCCCCAAAACATGAGCCAGCAAGCCACTGGCAGCCAGCCCTCCACTGCTCCCCAGGATCAGTCTGCCAGCTCCCAGGAGCCTGGCAGGGGCTGGAGAAGGCAGGCACCTTCCTGGTCCAGGGCAGAGATCATGGACCATATTCAGGTTTGGGGGGGATGCCCCCAATGTCCATGATCTCCGCGCTAGATGGAGGAATGTGGCCATCTATGGCAGGATAGCTGCCAGCCTGGCAACCAAAGACCACATGCAAACCCAGGAGCAGGTTTGCATGAAAATCAAGTTGGTCTGTGTATCCAGACGTGAACCCCCATTTTAACATCCATCTTTGTCTGCTTGAAACCATGCAGGGCACATAAGAGCAGGAAAACAGCATATTCTTTGAAAACCTTGGAGCAGGAGGTTTAGATATGCTGGCTCAGTGACCATGACCAACTGTAAGCAGAGATAGGAGGATGGTCAAACTAATTGTTGACCAAGAGGCTGTACATCATGACTTTGACTTAACCCATATTGATACGAACACACAACCGTCCGCAGGGCGAGGAATCTCCCATCCAACAAGAACATCCGGCACTCCTAATTTAGTTATCTTCCTCTCTTACAAGTGTACATTAACTTGAAACTTGCTTGTAAGAACTGGCGCCACAAAACGGACCAGTAAAATTTGGTCTCTTAAGATAAGAAAGAGAATACGGGCCCCCAGGGGTATAAAGATGAGTCCAGCAGCACACTGACTTTGTGTGTCAATCTACCACCTATCTGCTGGTCGGGTTTGGTGTTTGACCTCCCGAGGTTCCAGAGGGAACGCCCACCTCATATTCGCCTTTCCGAGGAATTGAGGGACTGACCCTGGCCTGACACGCTGGAGTCGAGAGGCACAGAAGGGGGTAAAAATTGTACCTGGATGTGGTCCTTTAAGTATATATATATATATATATATATATATATATATACACACATACACACACACATACATACACACACAGCCCTGACCATCGGCTGACAACGACCATCCCATTCGCAGAGAAAA